TTTCAATTTAGTTCAGCCTTAAGTGAGCAATCGTTGGAGTAAGGGCAGCGACAAGAGCTAAATTGTGAAAAACCCCCCTCTCGGCAGAACACACCTACGCAATTAATTGCTCTCCCAACCCTATTGTGGACGCCGACCGTAACAGGTATACTAATACTATAAAATTATGTGTTGAATTGTTTGTCCCAGAAAGTTGATATTAAAAAACCAAAATATGTTCCTATGGTTTCTTTCAGTCAGTTGTAGTTCTATTATTTGGGGTAAAACTTCTCTGAAAAATGATAGTAATAGAAGTAGTCCTATATATATTAATTCTGTTATGTATTCATTACATTTTGGTATGATAAAGTGAACATTAAAATTAACAAGTCCATAAGTTATGAATGAACACCATTATTACTTTTCAAAACGTCATCAGTCACTCAATTTTTTTACAGCCACACCATAATCAGCCTCTTATTTATAAAATGTTCACTTTGTCTGGTTTTGTTATTGTTGCAGCATGCCCCATATATTAATAGACAGTATTTATATTATTATTATATACATATTAATATCTTGATTTTTTGCTCTAATTGAACCCATCTTCTCTTTATAAGCCCTTGCTTAAGATATAGAGTGCCTCTATTTCTAATTGACGTGGAAATTCTGTCTTACTCTTGTGATGACGCAAGCGTAGATGGTGACGTATTCCTTCCTAAATTTCTGTGAAATCCGTTAGTGCCACCAGAATCTCAGGGAGCTGTAACGGTGGTACCACGAATAACAGTTGCATCGTACTAATTTCAAAGATGTTGCAACGGAAGCGTTAGACAGAAGCGCTGGATAGCAGCACAGTACAATAGCAGAGAGAGAACAGTGATAAATTTAGAGAATAATTATTAATTAGCTAATAGATTAGATCCGATGCTAAAATAGATTAATTAGTCAATCCGAAAGATATAAAAGCAGCGTAGAATAGACTTAGCATCGGTGTGTTCAATCCTGTGTTCATCCGAGTGTTCGCTACAATATTTTCCTATCGAAGACGTTCGATAACCTTTTATTTTTTTTATTCTTATTAATAAACGAGTATCCATTTACTCTGAAACGATAATTCTTTCCCTGAATATTCCGTTATATTTTTAAAGCATTAATCCGTACAACGGCAAGATCGGTTATAATACTTGTCTCGTGATCGATCGAGTGGCATTAGGATAGTTAATTATTATTTCTCAACGCGCGTTATTTTCTTATTAAGACCCCGACCTACAGACTACCGAACTAATCCACCGGCAGAGAGTAGTTTTGTTTCTCGAGAATAGTTAACTATCTAGGATTAGTGTGTGCGATCCGTATACGAATACGTCAGCACCGAAAAGCTTAAATTAAAAGGTCACTAACTGTTTGTTACGATTTAGCTATCGCTGAGGTGAGCCACACTTCTACGACGGCGCAGCTAGATCCCAAACCGAGACAGTAGTTATCCGCTCTCCCGTGACATTGCCTCGACACTCTTGCCAGCCAAATAATTAGTGATACATGGGAAATATGGAGATTACCCCCAAAACTATAATAATGAATTCATGGTAGGTAATGTTTAAGTACACAGATTCAAAACAAAATTTAATTCTCTGAATTTTAAAAACCAGTTCAATGAATGGTTCCTAATCCTTACCTACAGAATTCAAGATGAGTGCAGAAAATTTATGTTATCCTACTTTAATTTGAAACACCAAATGGAAGTTATTCCCAATAAGTTAATGTATGATGGTACTTGGAAAAAGTCAACTGATGTTCTTTGAGAAGTTACTTTAGGAATTGTCAATGTTTTGAGTGATACGTGGAAAATTTCAGCTTTCAGTTCTGATCAATCAGCGAAGGCACCTATTACTACGTATTAGTATCAAATGTTGTAGTGTCAGTGATTCACGTTTGAAAAATCTTCTTTTGTTAGCACGTAAGTTTCTGGAAAATCATTTAGTGCCAAGTGAAGAAAAAGAAAGGCCGATTGGGGAGGCGACCTGATATAATGTTCATGTATGCTGAATGTTCATGTTTAATCTGCACTAAGACGAAAAAGATTGACGATGATAATTATAATATTCAAACCATGAGGATTTATGTGATCTCGGATAAAGAATAATTACATGTTGTATACAACGCTAAGCTCAGAATAATATGAACGTTAATTTTGGGCTTCACTAGACACCCCAAAAGATATGTAACAATGGATTGATAAAAATGTGTATGCGGTACATCTGAAACTGTAAACTTAATTGATGTCACGTGGGATGGTTATAAATTTCAAGAATTATGATCTTCAATCCAAATAATCATGGCAGGCCCGAGAGGCTCTCACGTAGTGTTTGGTATGGAGGCTCTGCGATTCGGGATTCTCACCGTCTTTTCGTCATAGACGAGTATTAAACTCCTCCCTGTCTAACACAGTTGGTAATATTCCCTACGAGTTAACTGAAGAGCAACTAACCGAGATATTCAAGGAAGTCGGACCAGTAGTATCTTTTCGGTTAGTGTTTCAACAAACATGTCTGGTACTTGCCCGATTTTGCGAGCACTGAATATATATACGCTTTGTAAAGACTCGTATTTGATAGGGAGACTGGTAGACCTCGCGGCTATGGGTTTTGCGAATATCATGGTACGACACTTCAATATTGAATTTCTCTCCCTTGCACAAGCCGGTCGGTTCAATTTTTTCCCAATCCTTTTTTCTTATTTTGAAAGATGCGGAAACGGCAGCTAGCGCAGTGAGAAATCTAAACAATGTCGAAGTAGGTGGTCGCCCATTACGAGTAGATTACGCTGACGGTGATCCAGCAGCAGCTTCATCATCTTCCACAATGGCAGAAAAGAGTGGTATTGAAGGAAGGGGCGGCATGCAGCCAGCAGTACAGCAAAGTTCGTCTCCTCAACAGCCACAACAAACGCCATTGATGACACAAGCTTCGCTTCCGCAAGGGAGCGGTCCACAACAATCGGCAGTTGATACGATTAGCAAGAATCTTGCGACGATGAGTCCAAATCAGTTGTATGATGTTCTTGCGCAAGTCAAGGTATTGATCAAGAAGTTGTCGCGGTGGTATGAAACATTGCTCGAATTGTGTAACAAGAGTAATGTGAGTGGACGAGTGATCATTATAATGTGGTCTAGTCTAATTCTTTGTCTTTGACAGTTATTAATACAAAATAATATCGATCAAGCGCGAGCCTTGTTAACTCAAAATCCACAGTTGTCATACGCACTCTTTCAGTCAATGCTTTTACTGAACGTTGTCGAACCAGCAGTCCTCCAGGTTTTGATTGCAATGCACCATTTTGCTTTTGTTAATTTCCATATTATTTTCATTCTCACTCACATTCAACGTTCTTTTTGGGTATCTCTCATCTCCTCTCATCACATCACATCACCAAATGCTTTCTATGTACTCATAATCAGCGCGGTCTCCAATCAAATATACAAGCTGCTCCGCAACCAAACCAACAACCAAACCAACAACCACCTTCCCAACAGCCGCCACCACCAATAGTATCCAATGTCCCATTCCCGCAAACGGTTCCACAACCGGGTAATGTTCCACCGGCTCAATCTCAACCACCTGCAGCAATGTATCCAGGCATAGCTCAACCAGCACCACCATTAATGCAGCAGCCGATGCAATCGATTCAACCGCAACAAATGCCCCAGCAGATGTCTCAGCCTGTGTTGCAAGCTATGCAACAGGTTATGGGTGCCCCTGGAGCAGCTGGCGGTAAGTTGTAGCTGGGAGTGCGTCGGGTATGGAGAAATAATACTATTTATACTGAATCTATTACTACGTGCTGTTAGGTGATATACAAATACAAGAGCAGAGGGTAAGCCGTCATTATAGTATCAATCGCGTGTTTTTGGCTGCTGCATTTGGTAACACCATGTCGTCTCTCTGTTTGTAGAATTTACTATTACAAGTGTTACGACTCACTCAGCAGCAAATCGATTCACTACCACCTGAACAACGGAATAACATCATGCAACTGGTAATGAGTTTAATTCAACTTTCATCCCATCCGCATTGTCAACGCTCACAAATATTGCTTTCGTCATTGTAGAAACAGATTATGCTCAGTCAGACACCACCATAAATTTGTACGGGCAGAAGAAACGAGTGTTGTGTTACAACAAAAGATAAATGTATGCTCAGGAAAAGGAGATTTTGTCTATGAATTAATGACAGGGTTCTCTTTCACCTAGGGGCTCACGACATTTAGAAAGGATCCTGCGCGATTGTTCGGATTCTACATAACATACTCATTCTAATGCTTGACATACTTGACTTTAGACATTCCCGATTCTTGTCGCTGCTGTCTTTTCTGTTGTCTCTTACTTAAGCCGGGTGTTTCGTTTGCATTGGCTCCAAAGTAAGGTCGGAATAGAACATCCCACGCTTTATAGATTGCATACCCAGGAATCTGTTCAGCATCATAGTTAGAAATAGATCATTTAAATAATTACTCACGAAAAATTGAACTCACAATTAAATAAAACCACCACGCGCCTTCCCATACTATCGACAACATGTGGATACACCATGTTACATATATCACATCAAACATATATCTATGGACAACGTGAGGTCATTATTAGTAAAACTGGATAAGCAAGGTAATCGCCGAATAAGTATAGAGAGACTCACTCGGTTAAACCTTTAGCAGCCAAATCATTTCCAGGAGATATCAAAACACCATTTTGATATCGCGGCGTGCCAAACTGTAGCAGTTGATATCCTAGATACAATGTTATTCCTGTGGTTGTAAAGTATTTCACAGCTACCCAAGTCGTAAAAGTAGGGTAGAAATAGAATATGCGAACAAGAATGTATATTATCTGTTTCAAAAGAGAAAAAAAAGAAGAAGTGTTAGTCTGAATATCAGAATAGCTGTAAAGAAGGACACAGGTTTTACCAACGTTGAATATGAGGAATTGATAAAATAGATTGTTGAGAGTTTTTGCATTCTCTCGGGCAAGCTTCTTGTCAGCCTGTCCTGCCTTTTTAGATCAAACAAACAAACGATAAATATTGACTAGACGTCTCTAGTGAGAGAATATAAAATATGAATTTTTGTACGCTACCATTTGGTAAATAAATTCAACCTCTCAAGACAGTTTATTATTAACGAATATTTAATTGTGCGTTATACAAAACGTGACGTAGTCATCAAATTTGGTATAAATTGCAGATCATTTAATATAAAGACTGAATCTGAATAACTTTGCTCCGGTGCATGTTAACATAAAATTTTATAGAACAGTTTTATTATATATATATAAAAGGCTTTTACTTTATACCGGCGAAGTCAAATATACAGTATCTGTGGATAGTGATCTCAGTAAATATTTTATACGTGGAAAAAACCCAATAGAAAAAATCGATGAGATTACCGAACTATCAAAAAATGATACCGAGATTAGTCCTAAGATAAGTGAGGAAACTAACATTAACGAAATTAGCGAGGATATTACACCCCAATCTCAAGGCTCGAAGAGCCATGATTCGAAGAATCGCCTAACGGCCTGCTCTGCAATAGAAATTCCGAATATGACTTCTTACCTTGCACAGCCAGAAAATAATATGTCTTATTGAATTCCCAGATGAGACATAGTCTCGAGGCTTTGCCTCTTCCGATAGGAGGAATAGCTGTTGTAGCAAGTATTTGATGTCACCTCTATCGGCGTATATATTACTTACTCTGTTAATTATTGCGGTTATGTGGTTTGTTATCTTGAGACGTACATGGAATATAGGTAGGCTCGAAGAGCCATTGCTCTGCAATAAAAAAAGTGAACGGCTAAGGGATACGTGGGTTGGATAATGAGTTTATTAATTTTAAAAATTCTTTGAAATAGATATTATACAAAAATGAATTCTCAAGATAGTATTAGTGAAACTAGCTTTGCTAAATCAAATTGGCAGAAAATTGAAAATGACGTAAAATCAAAGCTCATAAATTTTTTTCAAATAATGAAGAATCAATTACTCTAGACATAAATAATAGTATAGAATATGCATATTACTTATATACCTTGGAGTATTACTTGAGAGAAAAAATCGAAAATGTGTCATAAAATACATATCATGACACTGTTGCATTTTTGTCGTCACACCAGAAATTTTTTATCCAATAGAAATCATAGTTATGGATTCCCAATCCGTCATACAAAAAAAACCGAAAGAAAGAAATATTGCAGAGCAATGGCTTATCGAGCCTACCACCTATAAAACTTTATCTTATGGATGTGGATGAGGCTACAAGCATGAATCGTCTCGAAATGTTGGACATCCAGCAATAGCATGGCCTTTCAGTAAGGTATTTACTGGTAGGAGTGGACGGGTAAAACTAATATACTAATACTCGGAAATCTTTAAGGGTGAATGTACAGTACACTCGATGGACAAAAGTTTAAATCCAAAACTTTCATGACGTTTATTTCAGAAATTTACTAAACAAAATTCAATAAAATTTGTATCGTTTGAAAGCTCTACTTCTCCTGTATATTTTCATTATAATTATATTCTGTTAAAATTTAAAATAAACGTAAGACTAAAATTGCATCACACTAACCATTTTTATTTAGTAATAGTAAACTGAAACCTATGCTCGGAATTTTACTAAACAAAATTCAATAAAATTTACATCATTTAAAAGCTCTGTTCTTCTTTTATTTTTTGATAATAATAATACTTTCCTTTTGGGTTATTGTTGTGATGTACATTGAATGATCAAAACAATATTGATTTTTGTTTTCTTTTTAAAAAAATGGGGGAAAATTGCGAACTAACGCTCCAGTTCATACTAATACAGCAAAGAATGTAAAAGCGTGGATATCTGAAAAAGGGCTCAAAATTTTGGAAGATTGGCCTTCTCAGTCTCCCGACCTCAATCCCATTGAACATCTGTGGGATGAGCTTAGTAGACGATTGAGAAATCGCCCTCAGCACCCGAAAAATTTACGAGAATTGGAGACTTTTTTAAAGCAAGAATGGCAACAAATTCCACTTAAAACATGTTTAAATTTGATCGATAGTATGCCTAGAAGAATTGAAGAATGTATTGCTAATAATGGTTGGCCCACCAGATATTAAATTTATGAAAAGTTTTCGAATTAGGTTTTAGTTTACTTAATAAAATAGTTAGTGTGATGCAATTTTAGTCTTACGTTTATTTTAAATTTTAACAGAATATAATTATAATGAAAATATACAGGAGAAGTAGAGCTTTCAAACGATACAAATTTTATTGAATTTTGTTTAGTAAATTTCTGAAATAAACGTCATGAAAGTTTTGGATTTAAACTTTTGTCCATTGAGTGTACATGCCTGCCCTATTGAAATTTCACGTAAGTGATAACCATTTGTGTTATGGTGTCCAGTCAAGTTAAGCCACCACATACATACCTGACGTCGACGCAATCAAATCCGTGCAATGTGATTGGCCCACGTAGAATACACAATATTTGCGTTAGTCTCTTTTCCCACTTGACAATACGTATACGTAGAGTATGCCCTCCGAACCCGCAACACCCCAGTTTCAAGTATATACCGCTACTCAAGCTTGCCTTTCCATAACCCTATACTTTCAACTCGTCGAGTTTCGGGACTCTGCCTTTGTCTGGGCGGGTGTGGAGGGCAAAGAAGTACTCAGCAACCTTGCCACTGCTATACCGGCTCTGCACGGAGGAGCACCCGCAGCAACGACAATGATATCAAATGATGTACAAGAAACCTCTAAGCAATTAGCACAGAGACTTGGTATGATTATTGATTTATACTTGATGCGTTTCTTTTAGAAGAAAGCGGCAGGATGATTGAGAATGTAATGAATGCATTTTATCCCAAGCTCGGAAATTTAATAAACGGTTCTTTGCGAGCATTAATTTGCCTAACGACCAGAATATTGTACCGTTAGCGGAAAAGAAGATTTTTGAATTTGTCAAAGAACATCTATCATGATATATTTATGATCATGTATAACTTGCTATGCGACTCTTATATAAGCATTATGTAACAGATCTTAATCTTCTAGTTCGTCAGTCCCTACTTCGGAGTCGTCTACGACCGTAATATTACTTGCCTATCACGCATTAGACACATCATTAGCTCTCAATTAAAATACGTGAAAGACAATCAAATTTAAAGTTTTTCTTTTTACCGGTTGCCACACTTGTATAATATTGTCTTCGGCAGCACTTGCTATGACCCATGGCGCGTGTGGGTTCCAACTGAAATCCGAGATCTTGTTTGTGTGTCCACCATGCATGAACTACCGAAAAAGCACATGTCAATATATTACACATACAGTACATCCATTAAAGCAGACGCCCCTCTTTCCGGCATGGTAACGTTTCACTCTCCCAAAAAACCACATTTTCATCTTTAGATAATTTACATACCAGTAATTCGGGCGGCCCCTCTTCGGCATCGTCTGCTGTCTGTTCTGCACCAATTCGACTAAGATCCCATATGAGAACCCGTCGATCACCACCCGCAGATGCGAGAATAGTTTCATCATGGGGTGACCATCCTAGTTGAATGACTTCGCCTTGGTGATGCATAAGGGTGTGAAGTTTAATGTTCAAGTTGCGAAGATCCCATAAATTGACCGACTGTGTGAATGCAAAATGAAAGATGAAAATTTATTAATGAACTTCGACATCCCCAAACTATTCTAGTAACCGCACTGAACGACATTGTACCTTATCACCGGCCCCCGTAGCCAGTATGTATTCATTATGTGGATTAAACGCTAACGTGTTTATTTCGCTTGGATGTGCGTTTATGGTATGAGTTGGCTTGTCGCTTTTATCGGCACGCGTGTCCCAACTAAAGACAATAACAGAACGGGCGTATTATTAATATTATCAACAAAGTCAACATCCGAGACGGTAAACGTAGTTGAGATGAGTTCTCACATCAAGAGTTTTTGATCGTCGCCAACAGATCCAAATATGTTGACATCTGTTGTGTGCCAAGCCACGTCCTACGGAAGTCGAAATTTAACATATTAAGCGAGGGGAGATAGTCCAACGCCCAATAGTCTAGTCAGATGCTATCTACCTCAACTATTGATTCGTGACCACGGTATACTCGGAATGGTTCCATCGTTCGTTCGTCTTTTGTAATTCCCGAAATATCCCTGTGTACCGGGATAAGTATAAAGTAAGCATCAAATTGGCACCGCCCAGACTCAACATTTAATACATACCAATGACAGATAGTAGTATCTTCTGATGCATCTAGTATATGACCCTCTTTATGCGGACTCCAAGACAGCCCATACCTAATAATAAAAAAGTAATCTCGCTTAAACAACATTGTTGGTGTGCATCATGTTCAAATCGTTAATGGTTTTAGCCTTACCCTTCTTTCGTATGTCCTCTTAATTTCAATTCGGGATTACACACTATCTCGCCAGTTGGTTTCATTGGATGTTTCGTTCGATCAAATATATAAACGTCTCCTTTAACCGTCTTCGTCGCAATGATATCTGGTTTCTGTGGCATATATCGCGCTCGATTGACTTCTCCGTCGTGAGGTATTTTCTGGACCACCGTTATCCTATTGCCAACTTGCTCATTGTTGTAATTATTTCCTTCTCGGCATAATGCAACGTATAAGTAGGATTTACAACAAGAAGTAGGATAAATCCTGTAAGTAAATACCTCGTTCTTCTTCATAACGACGTAATTCTGATTCGGAATCTTCTCTAGGTAGTTGTACGTTAGCGACTTCTACATAATTCTGATCACTGTCTGACGTATGAGTTCCAATTAGTAGGCGATGTATTGTATATGGTTTGCCTTCAGGTCTGAATTGCAATAACGAAAAGATTTGCATTAGCGCCTTTTACGCCTAAACAAGCACCACGATGCAAGTCATAGACGTTGACAATTGTGGTTTACTACAGGCTCACTTCGTCAAATGAAGAACGACTCACTGCTCCGTCTCCTGAAACCACTGGCTTGTCAGTGATGGCCACTCTAATGCATGTGTAATGACCAAGTCGTATAGAAAAGGTGAATTTTTTTTCCAAATCTTGTACTCTTCATTAATGATTTTTTCGTCGCTTGCGGCACGTTCTTGCCTTGACTCTTCTATTAACAGAGAGTTTAAAGTTTTCTTCAGCATCCGATTAATTTGGTTTTCCCGGGTAAATTAACATTAACATTTTATACATCAGTAGCAAGGATTTGATAAGAACATATACCACTCAATTCCTCCCGATCATGTTCTTCCTCGGTTCCGTCTTGAGACATTGTTATCAATTAACAAAAATGATGAGCTTCGACGCGCAGTGTCGAGTAAAATGATTCTCATCATGTGACGTGTCACAAATGAGGGTTATTATTACAAGCAATGCAATGGGTTCCTGCTAAACATAAAATTGATTCATTCTATAGTTAATTCATTAGTTAAAGTATGAAATGTTAAGATTTGAGACATGGCTATTATTATGTATTAGTATGGTTTTATAAAATTTGCTTTTCTTCAGTAGTGTATATTCACATTTTTTTCTAAAGTTGATGTCGTTTGTGTTTATATAAACAAAAAACGACCTGGAGAATACACGTCACTCGAGTGTGTCATAAAAAATGGAATTCACGTCAAAGATGAGACGTTTATAGTCTATATTAATATATCGGGTGCTATACAGGTTGCATTTGTATTGTCACTTCAGAACTGCAAAGACATACGCCAGTATGATGTGCGTTTTGCATGTATGCCGGCTTAGATCGTGGCCGATTTCCGTCGACAAAAAAAAAGTAAAAGTACACCTTGCGATTTATACATTGTTAGTAGCAACAGGATTTTTAACTGTGGGTTTGCGAATAGACATAAAATCGAAATCCGACTCAAAATCGTAATCTTGATCTAGCTTTCTATATAGTTTTGAAACCCTGGCTTAATGTTGCAGTATGCTTCCTCGATCTTTTGTGTTATAATTTTATCAATAGTTTGAATTAGCTTGCTCTTGCGATCTTGCATTGTTGTCATTTTATATACCGCATAGAATATTTAATGGAAAAATTAATCGCGTGAAAGCTATATTCGGTCATGCTATATACACGCTATCTGGTTATACTATCGATTAATATTAATATGTATGCTAAGTATATCACGTAAATGCTATCGATAATGCTATCGAGTACTTTTCATGGATAATAACTGTAAACGTAAAGCCAAATAAAACTATCAGGCTATTTTTGGATACAACACCAGACGATGAATAAACGAAAATAAGACGTAACGCCTACTTTACTGAATATAGTTGTTACGCTTATGACATTATTAAGTAAGTATAGACCTAGAGTTTCAATCAAAGTAGCCATTTAGAATTGATGAAAAATAAACTTTTCTGATAAGATCGACATATTGTTGTCGTTTTTTCTTTATAGAATAATAATGAAACAAGTTTGTGCTTGAACTCTGCATCAAAGGCGTCCAAGAGAGTAAGGTAATCATTTTGGGGTTTGGCCGTCGTCATTATTTACGTTATGGTTAACGATTAGCCTTGTTAACAAAAAGTGAAATGAGTTTATTATAAAGAAAATTTATTGTCATTATAGTGCTGAAATTAATTCCTATAATTCGCCTTTGACAACACCGTTACGCTTCTTTTTTTCCTGCCTTCTACGTCTATCGCTATTTTTTTACATGATAATTTTGGATTAGTGTTTTGTACATTAACTACTGTAAAAAAAAAATAAACAAAATGTTGGATTATTACCTTTCTGCATTTCTCATGTACAACCATAACTTGTTCATTTCCACTTCTATTCTATCCATTCTCCTCTCAATTCTGTCCATTTTCGTTTCTATTCTGTCCATTCTCGTATCTAATTCGTCCACCTTTTCCCCCACTCCGTCTATCTTCGCCTCGACACGTCCAATTTTTGCGTTCATGATATAGACTCCCGCCCCACAGCAAACCACCGCTGGTGTTACGACCTTGTTTTTAATTATATTCCAGATATTACCGAGATCTGAAATGGAATATAGTTTGGTTCTAGTGTTCTACAATATGAGAAAGAGACATAATACTTCACTCACCGGCCCGCGAGAGCGTCTTGTTTTCAGTCGGCTTCGCTGTCGTACAATATAGGCGGCGGGCGATGTTCCTGAGAGACATTGCAATTTAGTATGTGAAAGTTTTTTTGATGTGGGGGAAAGTTTTTTTGATGTGGGGAAAAGTTTTTTTGACGTGGGGGAAAGTTTTTTTGACGTGCGGTGGAAATTGGTTTGGTTTGGGGGGATGGAAGTCATTCATTAAATACGTCACGTATTTGGTATCCCAATACAGTAATATATATGAATCTGCGGTTTACGTGTTCACATTTATCATTGTTATTATTAGAGTATTACGTATGTCAGATACGGTATATAATTTAGACACGTGAATATACCGTCTCGAAAAAATTCTTCTAAATGTTTCCATATACATGTGACTGACACTCCTGCATGCAGACCTATAATACAAAGTTGTGCACCTCTTATTGTTACGTAATATTAAAGAACAATATGGTAGACAAAGAAAGTCACAACACATATGATCATGTTGTTGAGATCATATGACTTGTTTGAAGCCATATAATGTTTTATCAAATCAACAAGGTTAAAAGCCACATATCATTGCACGACACTACATACTGCGTGGTAGAACATATTGTTGTTAGTAATAGTAAAATGCAACATAATAATAATCAAACTGATCACGCAATGAATATACTGTATATCATGATTTTTATTGATAATCGTTATTATATGTATTAAAATCTTATATTAATATTAATATTAAAATATGGGTAAATAAGATAAGTAAAGAATGCGCAGTTAATTTAAACAGCTTCCAACAATGAGACTTGGAATGGTATAACTCCACCATAATAATAAATTGAAATTCTTTCACCATAAGAATTTCACACAACCACAAACCATGGCATTCCTAATACAAGATCAGCTTTAGGTTCTTTGCAGACTACAAAATTATTTAAAACTTCATCACTACCAGATACTAATTTATCCTTACCCTTAAATCGAAAAGATAATTCAAAATTTTCCACGACACCTACAGTATCCTTTATTCTCTTTTCAAAATATTTTGGTGGGTCGCTATATTTTATTCCAAGTTTATCGACTAAACTTTTTCCAATAATTGATGTGACTCCAGTAAATGTCATTATAAGAACAAGGAAAATGCATGGCAAAGTGAGTTAAAATATTACCCCAGCGGGCAAATTTGCCGCTAAAAATTAATTTTGACCCGTTTGCTCGTGATTTGCTTAATCATTCCCCTCCCCACTTTCCTAATACTAAGCCAAAGTGAAAGTGCAATCCACGTTGATTACCCTCACAGACTTTCTCAAAGGATAAATCTAAGTTTAGCCAAAAAAAGAATACCGTTGGCACAAGGTACACTAATTTTACGCGTATGAATAAAGATAACAACATTCTATCGTCAACACGCTAAGCTTAATCTTATTATGAGTAGTCATCGTGGCCGGAGCATACCTTAACTTCCATTTGTTTGGCTCGTATGACATACACGTGTGTAGCTTTATTGCCTGCATTTCTTGGAATTGTGGTTGCTCAAAGAACAGTTTGACAGAATTATGTGAGGCGTTTCAATTACTCTCTAAATCTGAGCAAGATATTATATCTGTTCTCTCTCATCTGTTTTATCATAAGGCATAATCACGTTGTGATACAATTTCATGCTCTCGGAAAATAAACGATTCAGTCGGATCTTTATCCAAAGCCCAATTTTTTAATTAAAAGTGATTGTAGATAAAAATAAAACATGTTTATAATTTGATTTTGGAATAAATGAAATAATGTGCGTGGTTTGTGGAATTTATAAATAATTGAGTCCAGCTCGGGCCTTTTATATTCAACGAGTATTTTCGCTTAATAAGCGGCTGGTATTTTGATTTAATTGGTCCTTTGATATTATCATTTGAATTCATGGGAATTTTATAGTAGAGCGAGTACGAGGGAAGTAACAGCGACAATCGTGAACAGTAGTGACACCGAAGCGCATTTTTTCTTGGGCAAAAACTCTTATCTTCAGTACAGTTTAACTTGCTTTGTACCGATACCAATATCGGGTGGCGAAAAGCAAGTATTTTGAATAAATTGTTTACTTGCTTTCTTTTTTCAAATGTTGGGAAAGATGTTAACGAAATATGGTATTATTTTCGTCGATCAGCCTTTCGGCTCCGTATAAAAAGTCGGTCGGTGTGTATCACTTGATATCACTTGAATCATGCCTGAGAATTCAGACAAGAAGTCATTAGAAGGGTTAGAGTTAACAAACTTGCTCGGGCCTTTTTCTTCTGTCATCGCATAATCGTTTTCAAGAATTGGTCAACTAAAATAAACTTGTGCACACATTTGACCAGGGAAAATACCCAAGTGATTTTTGTTAAGCGACCAGAGAGTGGACCTATCAACCCTGATGAGGTATTTAAAATCGTCAAAACGCCCATTCCTAAGGAAGAAGATATCCCGCATGAGCATGTTCTAGTAAAAGTGCTTTATTTATCATTGGATCCTGGTAAGGATTTGCTGCAGATACTATCCTAAAAATATGAACGGGTATTGACAGAATCCTTTAATCTTCGAAAGCAATGCGTGGTTGGATGGAGGACAAAAGAAGGTATCAACAGATCCAATATGTATATAGTTGGAATTTACGCCAAATATTCTCAATTTAATGGTCAATTTGTATTCGAAATCATCCAGTTATATAAAGCCAGTGGGTACCGTATCGCAATTGTACTTGACGCTAGCATTTGATCGTTAAATTTCTTCTAATTATGCCTGATCTTATTAATAGACTTGAATGAAGTTATGCGTGGGGCCACTGTTGCTGGTAAGATTTGCTTGTTTGAATTCTCTAGTTTTTCTATTTACACTTTCATACGAAAACGTAAACTTTTATGATATATCGTTAACAGAAGTCATCATCTCCAAGAATCCAAACTTTCAACCGGGGGATAAAGTGCAGGGGTTTCACGGTAATGACCAATAACCGCGATAATCGATACTTTTGTAATAGCATGTCTTTTTAAAAATCTCTCGATATTATCAGGATGGCAGGCCTATGCTGTTGCAAATGGGAAAGATCTTATTAAACTAAAGTAAGCGCCGCCGGTTACTTGCAGTGATTCTCTGAACTGTTCATGCTGCTAAAATATATCTTTGTACAAAAGTCCGCCTCCCGGAGCGTCTCTCAGTGACTACCTCGGACTCTTTGGTATAACGGGGTTGACCGCATACTTTGGATTATTGGATATCGGTGAGTTTAGTGAGGTGGCGCGCGTTGGAATTGTCATGGAAGAAACACTGACGAAATTTTATTAAAAGGTAAACCTGTTGCCGGCGAAACTGTCGTCGTATCTGGGGTAAGCCGATAAGAGGAGGTTTTGCCAATGCAAGTTAAATGATTCATTAATTGGTGATTGTCAAAGCCTAAAAAGATGTATCTGTTCCCTTTTAACAGGCCGCAGGGGCAACGGGCAGTGTAGTCGGTAATTGCTATGCAGTTTGAAAGCCACAATCCGAGTTACTTAAAGCTCATCTATTATGTATAAACAGGTCAAATAGCAAAAATTAAGGGATGTCGTGTAATAGGAACAGCCGGCACACAAGAAAAGTGCGAGTTTCTCGAAAAAGAGTTGGGCTTTGATGTAGCATTAAATTATCGTGATCCCGACTTTGCTCAAAAACTGAAAGCAGCTACCCCAAACTACATAAACGTCTTTTTTGACAATGTCGGAGGCGATATTCTGGACCTTTGTTTGACCCGCATAGCCACTAAGGCACGCATTGTACTGTGCGGTGCCATCAGCCAGTATAACGAAAAGAATCGAAAAGGACCGGCGTTTTACACTGCATTAATCATTAACCGGGCCAAGATGGAAGGTTTTATCGTGTAAGTATGAAGCGGTTCACTTATACCAGTTACCTGAACACGACAACGTAACGAATAATGTCTATACACTACTTTGAAATAGAATGGACTACCAAGATAGATGGTCCGAAGCACGTCATGATCTGATTGAATGGTTTAAAGAAGGAAAGCTCAAGGGACGGGAACACGTTATTAAGGGTTTGGAGAATGCGCCGGATGGATTGTTGCAGTTGTTTGCTGGTAAAAATACAGGAAAGATGGTTGTTAAAGTCGCCGAGCCAAGCGTAATGAGCAGCCTGTGATGTTATCCACAGCAAGTCAAGTGTTGGTATATTGAGACTTTGTAATTCAACGAATATGTTCCGCCAAGAGAGTTCAGATTTTGTACGAATTGCAAATCCTCGTTTTCCAATAAATGACAAGAATATGACTTATTGGCCTAACGCTTTACGCATAGCTTCTGTCAGCCACACACTCTCGTATCTCTCTTTACCCTCGGTCTCGTACACAATATCAAGCAGTCCTTCCACGAATTCATTGAATTTTTCATATCTTTCCCGCGCTGCGTCCAATAGCTCTTCTGCCTGATTAAACCGATCGAGCGGATGCTGTTCCATTGCTACTGCGTTTATGGCCCCAATATAATCTCGCAGCTTGTCATCTTTGAGAAATTTTTTTATTTTCTCAGATTGTCCTATCGACATACAGTTAATAAATGAGTGAATGACTGGAATTCAGGATATTCGTAAAGTAAAGAAATACGCCATACCAATTTTATGTAGCTGCTCTGGCTTTAACGTATTAGGATCCTCTATATCGAAAGCAGTATCGACTGATCGTACTCTGTCGATGATATCCTTATTAAGTTTTATGCCTGCTAATATCGTCAAGTCCTCCCCCTCAAGTAGATTATCATCGTTATTGCGATTGTTATTATCCTGGAAAAACGGTTTTCTCTCGTAATTTGAGGTGAAGCTTGTATCCTTTTTCCGACCAAATAGATCGGTTGCTAGAAAATGACAAGATCATGATAGTTATGATCGGTAACCGCCCGAAAGATTGTTCATATGAAAACTAGATGGCAAACCTGGCGGAGGCACTGGTGGAGGTGCAGTACATGGAATCTCTGATAATAAATTTTAACGTTAGTAATAATATAGGGTCTCGATCTAATCGAGTACGCGGTATCAAGCCATACCTTACCTTTATGTTTTTTTGAACATTCCACGGAACAACTATAAAGTATACGCAAATTCATGAATTCGAAATACATAAATCACGTCAATTTGATTCAAAACAGCTTCCAAACTTACAAGAGAATCCTACATGTCGGGCATTTATACTTATGAGGCATCTTGTTACATACTTCACAATTTCGAGTCAATCCAGGTTTTGATATAAACTGTCGGGTTGGTCGAAACGTTCTTTGTTCATAAGTGTTTCCCCTCCTTACGATTTGATTATGTCTTTGATGTTTTGAATTCACCCACGAATTTGTTGGTTTATTTGATCTAAATGTCCCCTGCGCGTATGTTTTGCCCCTCCTTGCCATTTGGTAAGGTCTTCGGTTTTTCCAGTTATTTGTTGGACCAGTAGGAGACTTTGCTAAATCAACATGTTTCTCTTCTCGGTTGCCCATTACTGTTTTGGGAGAATAAGAATCTTGGTGAACAGAATACTCGCTAGGTGCACTGTCTGAATCGCTGTTAGCCATTATTATTATTATTATCGGCGCGGTAATAGTAAAGAGTTGTAAATATAAACTGCTTATAAATTATTATTAAGATCAAAAATCACGATTGTGTAAAATATGTTGATTTTTGGGTAATTCATCAACGTTTAGCATAATCTTCCGAGTACGTATACTCACGCTTCGTCAAGCTACAAATTTATACAATAATGTATAAAAGTTCTATTGTTTTTCTTTTTTTCGAAATTAGCTTCAAAATATTGTTACTTCGCATAGTACACATGGGTAGGAGAGATTTTTGAAAAGAAAACTTTTTCATATTATGTTTTAAAAATGTTGTGTTACTCACGGCACGTAAGAAGGCCAATCAGAATATCTGCCAATAAACCATCGGCAAGTCTCAAAGGATCAATTACCACAAGTATAATCAATTTTGGGAAAACACTCGAAGAACGATTAACACACATGTTCAACCTTTACAACAGTGACCTTAGCTGGCATTTCTCAAGATGATATTAGCTTATAGCCTATGCTCTTAGCTTATCCATGATTCGTTCGAACAAAAAGACAGTAATTCTCCAAACCCCTTTAAACGAAAGTGAGGAAAAAAGAATAGTTATACATGTCGTCCACTGGGAACAGGTTGTTACTCACCAGCTAAAATTAATATTGAATAATTTTCTGCCAAAGGTAATAACATTTACTATTCGCAATAAAAAAAGATTGCCTGTAATGCAAAAGTTTCATTCAGCAAACTATCAAAGTTAGTGTTTTATTTGGCAACGCGAATTCCATATTAGCATGTCCGCATTCTTTTCTAATTTAGTGTTTTTAACAATTCGGGTAACGCTGAGCAGTCATAAAGTTAAATGCGCTTCGCTTTTTTTAACCTATAGAATTACGTCTTGATAACGCATGTAGAGAAAAATTATGTGAGTACCACTCACTAGGTCAAAATGGTCTTTTCTAGTAACGGTATTAAATCCACTTTATCATTACTTCTATCGATCTTGATATACTTAGCTGTGACGCCTTCTTCCCTAACATTTTAAGAAATTCAATCAGCAAGCAAGTGGACAACCATTAAGATAGCGAGTAAGAAAACAACTTAACCTGATACAATCCAGTGTAATATCCAGAAAAGTACCACGCCATTAACAGATTCGATAATGCTTCGTCGTCTACAAAAATATGAATCATATGATAAGCTATTCATTTGCGACGAAAGAGAGAGAAAGACGGAGGGGCTACTGTTACCAGATCCAGATGTTGGTGGCATTGGTGGTGGTGGCATTCGTGGAGGTGGCGGCTTTGAATAAAAAAGATAAAATTAAAGTAAAACCGAGTTCTATCAGACAGCCGACCATGACATTGAGGGACACTTACTATTGACATTGAGTGCCATGCATAATGCGGGTATTGAGACTCCTTCATTAAGAAGAAAAGTTAATATTAGTACTATAAGGATTTTATAATAGTATATAGGAAACCTATTCAGCAGAATGGTGCTTTATCAGCTTCAACGTTAGCTGAAACAAAAAAGAAGCCGGAGAATACAATTCTGCATACATACCATAGGCGGAGGGGTCTGATAAAATTGTGTTGATGGAGAAGGATTATTTCCCAACGCTTCCCCGTAATAAGGTGGTGGATAAGGATAATATGGATAGAATGTCTTTTGCTGTGAAGATTCTTTCGTACTCTTGTGATCTTTACCATTGTCCTGAAATGATATTTTCTATTTCAGATCACCACAGTCTAACAAAATAATAAAATTTCTACTGGGTTTTGCTACCGACCAATTTTTGTTTGGTTGCCCTGGTTGTCGCATTGTCAAAGTGCTGTGGTCTTTTTGTTGCAGAAGTAGAAGACGGCTTATGCACTTGCTTTGCCTTCTCTTTTGTTGATGTCCTGTCAGATGATAATCTTTGCTTAGCAACATCACAGTTTCACGAAATTTAAATATGAAATGCCATCAATTTACTTTTGGTTTGAACGTGCGGATGTGGCAGATGATCCATTAATTCCTTCTTGCTTAGCCTTTGCTTTGAGACTGTGGTGGGTCTGATTTGATGAAACAAATGATCACGTGAATGATACGTTACGGTAAGAGCATAGCAATGAGGAACAGAAAATCATTGCTTACTTGGTATTCTAACATTGCTTTATCCCAAGCATTTATTAAAGCGCTGTCATCCCAGACATCATCAACATCTTCCTGTCGAAGAACATGTATTCAGCGTGTGTTTCATGACTACGACTGGCTAAACAGATTTTTCTCGATGGTAATGAAACTCACTGCAACGTCCATGTCCTCTGTCACTTCATATGTTTCATCGAGTTCATTATATTCGTCTTCGTTATACTCGTCTTCATTGTTGGGTATGATGTTCAAGGATGACGATTTACTCGTCACTGTGGTCCTCAAATTGCTCATTTTGTCAGTGGATAATAATTAATTCGGAAGAGAGAAAATGTGTCTTTAATTATTCTTAAATCATGTGTCTCGGTTTTGATAGGTCACGTTAACGAGAATGTCTTACAATACTATTTATAGTAATTTTTAATAGCGAGGAGTAGAATTCAGACATGTTCTATTTTCACGAATACCGAGTGAATACAATGCATGATTAACCCTACAGAAGAAATAGTCAAGACAACATGACGACAAATAATCGATGCTCCCTTCACTGATGAACTTGTTCTCGAAGTTATTGCTGCAAAAAAAGTGGCTATCTGTCACCAATTACCCTTGCAGTTAGAAGGACCCAGTTTAACAGATTGACTTGGCTAATTAAACAAGTACATTTTTCTTTTCAAAAACATGTACAGATATTAAACGAACGTACATAGGATTTACTCGCTCAACACCGCAGTCAACAATACGTATTACGTTTGTGCTGAGCCTTAAGAAAATATTGTTGATATGCAACGTAGGTAATGCCAAGTTATTAAATATTTACTTGGCAGCCTGACCTGACTAATCCACCGAATCACTCAATGAAAGTACGAGTTAAAAGTTCCTTTATGACGCGATTCCATTGTAAGGCAGTCATACTTGACTATATTGTATGAAATAAAAAAATTAAAAGTATTTATCTCTGTTTTTAAATACATCTTTCGTCGAGGTATGCTATTTATTACTTTCTTTAAATATGGATTTAAAATGTGATATTTTGATTCTGACAATCATCCAGGTATGACGCAGCTCACCAGCGATAATAATTCCGACAATTGCATGCGGAATATCTTTATCATGATGCAAAGACCTTTGTCATTCGAGAAGGAGAGAAAGTATTCTGTAATTTAACGTTACCTAAATCGACTAATTTCGAATTTGATTCGTAATTACATTCTTTTCACTTAGCGTTAGTTTGTAACTGAAAAGTCAGTCGGGTAGATAGCAAATAACATAAATATAGCATTGTTGAACTACTCACGCAAAGCACGTGGGATTGATCAGCTGATCATTCAAATTACTATATAATCAGTAAAGTTTCATTCTATCGCTATTATCGAATATTAACGCGACCGCAAGTATAGCAATTGTTGTCTGGAAGATCACGTTCGAGTGTTATAAAGACCTGAAATAATCCAGCAGTCATGAACGAAGAGTGCTCCGACTCTGACGTAGAACGCCTTAAAGAAATTTTTGTAAATTTCATAATATTATTACATGTGTGAAAAGAGTGTATAAGGATAGACGATATTATCATTTCAAGCACACACTATAATACATTTTTTTGATCAAACAGAGAATTGATGAAGAGCGAGCACGTGAAGTATTGAAAGTATGCGTTCATTCACTATCCTTAAACTATTCTTAAACAGGATGCCGTATTACTCTCTAAAACAAAAAACCATACTATCATTTGCCTTTCTTTAGGAAGCCAACAATGATTTGCAGAAAGCAGCTGATCGTCTATCCGCAAGTGAGGTGATCGATATGTCTATTAAATCGTAATATCAATGTGATGAGTGAGTTACTAATTCGGACAATAGATGCCAGAGCTAACGAGTGCTAGTCAAACCGAACCTTTACAACTCGGCTGGGGCTCCTCAACGGGAAATGAAACTACATGGTGTCCGTATTGAATGATCTTTATGTATACGAAGTGGTTGATAAACTCTGGTCTACAATATATAGAATTAATTTTAGCCAATATTATATGGGTTGGATGTATTTTTATGCGTTTACAGTGAGTGCCATGATGGTTAAGAGGCTGTAAAATTCAACCGTCGCCTGATCGAACTATATTATTAATATATTATTATCAAACCCAACATTAACAGCACAGCAAAGTCCTTCGGGTACTGGATTCAAAAGTTCAGGCATGTATTAAGCTGGAACGATGGTATTATTGCATACAATGAACATAACATGTTGCTAACATTGATAATTGCAATTGGGATAAATTTTGATTGATTGAAATCGCGTTTTCCGGTCTACAGAAGATATGAATAAAGTACTTGAGGAATCAAGGTCGGCTGCTCGAAAACAAGAAGATGAAGATCTCGAAAAAGCAAAAGAACGAAGTCTGGAAGAAATGAAGGCGCAGTCCGACTACTCATCAATGCAAGTTGTTCCATATTACCAGGCAAGCCATGTGATCTTTTGATGCATTGGTTATTCTTACGATCTAATTATTGAATATTCATTTGTCAGGATCATGGACAGAGTTACGACCAGGAAACCAACAAGCGTCGCTGGTCATCAACATGGGACGATCCAGAAAATCCCGTGGATCGCGCTAGAGTAGATGATACGTACGTGTTCAAATTTTTGCCAGATGCATTTTATGCTCACCTCTAATCTGAGATATGAGAAAAAGTGATACATCCACCAACGTCTCGATTTAACTCAAACAAAAAAAAAAGTCCACTCGGTCTCCGACCTATAGAGCGTTTATACTTTCCAACATCTGTTATTCAAGCCTTGTTCCATGTCCCAGTGTTAAGATTAGCCGTGCTAGCTTTCCGACCAACCAGAGAAGATTGGGGCGATACGACCGATTATTGGAGAGGAATGTCTTCTAGATTATCAGGCCTTGGGTATGAGCCAGCCGATCATCAAGAAATCGGAAAGCGACGGCGCGAGTATCTGAGATGTATGTAAGGCATTTAATTGCTTGAGCATAACGCATCTTGCGTTATATTTTGTATAGAAATTCGTGTAAATATGTTTATATTTTCAGTTATGCATGAATTGCAAAAGCTCTTTGCTTTCTTGCAATTAAGTAAACGTTCCTACGGAAGTGGATTACATGTGTACGAAGCGTTGAAATTCGACGATAGCAATTACGTGACTTCTGATTTAGTGTCAAGCGGATCTGGTTGAGTATTGGATTTCTGTGCTGCTATATTTGACGTGCACACCACAACTGACAAGTATTTGGAAAATTTGCAGATTTCATTGGCAAGATTCTCGAGAAGATGGTCGATGCCTCCAGATATCAACAGCCTTTAGAAGAGGAGTCAGATATTCCAGAAGAGTGCAAACCATTTATATTACCGTTTTCCACGTACGTTTTCTTTTCTTAACAAATTACGTACGCTGTGATATTGACTGACTTGATTTGTTCTAGGCTTTTGAAATCTTGCGCGACCGAAACAGGCTGGGCGAATGAAGAGATGTATTACGGCGATCTTCAGACGAGAGAATGCACAAATATGATATCCTTTTTTTTCTGGTTTTGGGTCAATCCGGCGTTTACATAATTTCTTAACTTTGATGCTCCATTGAAAACGATCTCTCAATCTCTTCTCAGCAGAATTCTATTTACGCAGCTCTGGACAGTGTAATGTTTCAGGGTCACAAAAAAGTCGCCTTTATCAATCTTACCAAAGTAATGTTTATAAACATTAAGAGATCCAACTCAGGCTACTCATCGTATGGGTGGAACGATCCTTTCCAAATTCATAAAACGTTGTATATGGATCGGTACATGATACATAATAGAGCAGAGGTAGAGACAATACTGGAGTCTGTCGAGCAGTTGAAGAGGAATCTCGAAAGATGGGAAGGCGAGATCGACAAGATTAATAAAAGCAATGTATGAATCCGTTCGATTTTTGCCGAGTCATATTGAGAATTAACTAACAACTTTGTTTATCATTTTGACATTGTATAGAATTCATGTAGTGGGTTAGAATTACTTCGACTATCGATTGACTATTACAGACAAAAACAAGCCTCAAAGCCTCCGAATGAGCTTGACTTTAATGATGAGGATGAGAAGATGATCACATTTTTACAGAAAACTTTAAATTTAATGGAGCAACGATTGAAAGGTAACATAATTGATCGTTAGCAGAAGCCTATAGTACCAGATTGTCGCTTACATGAAAATTTTACCAACTAGAACTGGAGGAAAAAGTAGAAAAAATAAAGGATCAACTCGAGCATGTGTTTGACTTGGAAGCGTTCCGTAAGGTTGAATATCATCTTAAAGCTGTGCTCGTGAGTGATAGTATCAGCCAAGGACATACGTGGGCTTACATATGGGTTCCTACCGAGAATACGGGAGATGATTTGATTATGGATCTTGACGAGAAGGACGGGTGTTGGTACAAATTTTGTGAAGTTGATGTTCAAAAGGTACATACGATGCGTGATTATGAAAAATTCACTGGCGTTGTACGTGCAGAGGCTAGAGGGAGAAGGTAACTCTTTGACAATATTTAGGTTACCGAAGATGTTGTGCTCTCTGCAACAACGAATACGTGGTCTGACGGTGTATACGCGCTTGTATACGCGGCAGCTGAACACGATTCCAGTTATCTCAATTCCGAGTTTATGAAATCCGTCATCCCGGAATCTCTAAAGGTAAATAATCGTTCTATTATCTAAATATGTCGACGTCTTTTTCCAATGAATTGTAGTTAACAAGCATGTATATTATCGACAGAATTTCGTTGCTAAAGACTCGGCAGAATTTGATGAGGAATTGCAACAGCATTCGCAGAAGATATCTGAGTACGCATTGAACACGAATAAATGGCGCCAAGATTCCACGTCTTCAGTCACAAGAGGTATAGGCAGGGAATATTCAGACATGAGACATTCAGACATGAGACATTCATACACGGGAGGAGACATAGACAAGAGAGAAACAGAGATTGCTGCTGCTGCTGCTGCTCCCCCTGCGTATGCTCCGGAATTGGATCAGATACTGGAGCAAGCGAGTACTATGGAGCCTATGAACCCTGATATTCTAAAAAGGTCTGTAGGCTTTACCATTGGAGGGACTGTGTTTAAAATTTACTCGGCTAACTGAATTTGCTTCTTGTTGTATTATAACTGGTAAGATTCGAAATATTCTGTGGGAAATTGGATAGAAGCGATATTGTTGTGAGACTTCTTCAAAATTACTTGGACACAAGTGTAAGTTTAATGACTTGGAAATTCGTAGCATAAACTTGTCATTATCATCAGAATGTAGTGTCGGTCATATGGATAACACGTTTTCTTGTTACCAGAAACAACGCAGAGACTACACCGATCCTATTCCCTTGGATTCTAGCTATCATTCAGACAGCACGATTCAGCCGTTTGTTCAAGCATACGATACATACAAAAAGGTTACTTCTTGTCTCTGTGATGGATTAGACGAACTGGCAAAATCGTATTATGAGGATGCACTCAAGATATTCATACGAGTGGCGTATTTGGAAGATAAATGGATACAGGATTATAGTGATATTATGGGGAGAGCTAATGAATTGGAGAGGTTGCCAGAGATCCTCAAATATGGAAGAGAATGTCTACTAGTAAGTACTACTGCATCACACGTTGGCTTCATTTCTGAATTGATCTAACACCCAAGCTTCGTAACAGCAAATGCACAGAAGATCTCGCGATCTAGTTCGTTCCCAGGGAGTCAATGATGCTTTCAAAGTGATTTACTATTTTCAGGCACTTGTCAAAGAATGGGGAAAGGACAGACTATACCAGCAATTCCACCATGATTGGATGAAGTTTCACGAAAATAACGAAAATGATCTAGACGATTACCAGAATGCTCAAATACGGGAACTCCTCCAATGGTATACCGATGGGTTGCCAGAAGACGCGTTTACTAGGTTTGGTGATATAGCTGTGAAACCACTAGATGAAGATCAACCGGTCGAGGACGTAGACCGCCTTCACGCAAGATACGCGAAACTTTTGAGAGATCTTGAAAATATTTAATGATAATTCTTGTTATTGGGATTGGAGAGATTAAAAAGCTGATATTTCTAATGTTTAAATTAATTTCCTTGTTCTAAAAACTCGTTATTCGCACATCAAAAAATAGCTTCCCCTTCCTGATTCGTTGTCAATAACCTGCTGTTTAAGTGCTTTGCTGATCGACTTATTTAAATAAATATCTATACTGCGCGTGGATTTGGTATCGCTCATGACATTGTGATTAAAGATCTCTGTCCGAAAAGGACTGACCGTGAATTTTGCTAGAAACACTGCACTAGTATGTAAAACGTAACTGAATAATATGATTGTACTGGAGTTGATCGACTGTCGGACAAGAATTTATGGAAAAACAACCGAACCAAAAAAAGACCAATCTTTGGAATAAATACAAATATACACTGTAATATCGTCTTTGAATAGAAAGAAAAAAAAATGGTTTTAGCTGATCTCGGTCGACGTATAAATTCTGCCTTAGCGCAGATTAATAAAGAGCCTGTCATTGACGAGAAGGTATGCGATTTGATATTGGGGAGCTCATGGAGTTTTTAAAATGACCGCGGAAACCTACAAGTTTACCACTGAGGAGCGATTTCAATAACTGTACCGATTCAAACGAATGCCTTTAAACTCATTTACCCTTAACCATGATGCTTTTTCCATGAATGTTGACGCAGGTGCTCGAGGCACTTTTGAAGGAGATTGTCTATGCATTAATGGAATCCGACGTCAATGTCAGGTTGGTTGGTGGTTTAAGAGAAAATGTAAGAAAAGCCGTCAATATACAAGAGTTGCCGGCCGGCATAAACAAGAGGAAGCTTATACAGAAGGTGAGGATTCCGTCTTTGGGGTGGAGTCAGGTATGCTGTTGGGAATTTTATCAGAATCTAACCTGTTTTTGTTACTCCTTATGAGACCGTCTTTGATGAACTTTGCAAATTGGTTGACCCAGGCGTTGAGGCATACAGACCTAAGAAGGGAAAGGCGAATATTATCATGTTTGTTGGGCTACAGGGGAGTGGCAAGACTACGACATGTACCAAGGTACAAGAGAATGGGTAATGTTTGCTAGCTAGGAACTTGTGGAAACATTGTCAAATGTATTGATCATATATAATAGTTACGAATCCGTTATGTCTTCCGCGACATCAGTTAGCATATCATTATCAACGTAAAGGCTGGAAGACATGTCTCGTCTGCGCAGATACGTTTCGTGCTGGTGCATTTGATCAGTTGAAGCAGAATGCCACTAAAGCAAAAATACCGTACTATGGGAGGTTAGTGGTAGTGCTACTTATTCTATCATGACTGTATTTACTTTGTAAATGAGTGTTTAAAAAAGATATTTACAGATGAGTTTATTAATTTTCATAACAGTTATACGGAAACGGATCCCGTTCAGATCGCACATGAGGGAGTCGAGAAATTCAAAAAAGAAAGTTTTGAGATTATTATCGTAGATACGTCGGGAAGGCATAAGCAGGAAGCCGAGTTGTTTGAAGAAATGAAGCAGATATCAGCCGTCGTTGTAAGTAGGGAGGAGATGGGTTTGAGAATTTAAAGAGAGTATGGGGATGAAATTGTTAGGGTGGTCAACCGGAATTATAAAAGCATCCTCAGCTCTATGTGAAGGCTCTCGCGTTTGTCGCGCTCAATTCCCGGCGACTAGCGCTTGACGGATTGTGGTCTAATAGATGTGCCGTTGGAGAGAATATTATTAGCAAAAGTGTCTTAACTTTCTCGGATCAATTAATCAATTGCTTTGTTTTGTTCTCCTGCAAGAATCCTGATAATACTATATTTGTTATGGATGCTACTATTGGACAAGCAGCCGAACTACAGGCAAAAGCTTTTCATGAGGCTGCTGATATTGGATCAATTATTATAACAAAGATGGACGGACATGCGAGGGGTGGTGGTGCCATTTCAGCGTGAGTTTCTTGGAAACTATATTCGATTAGTTAATCCTTGCTACAAATTGCTCATATTATATTCGTTTGATATCTCTTCTCGAAATTATTAGAGTTGCAGCAACACGCAGTCCAATTGTATTTATTGGTACAGGAGAACATATTCATGATTTAGAACGATTCTCAGCAAGACCGTTCGTGTCCAAGATGCTAGGTTTGTAGCCTCAGTTCGTGTGTATTGACTTTTGTTTTTCAAATTGCACCATTCTCACAACGCCCCATGCATTATTTAATAGGAATGGGGGATATTTCTGGATTAATGGAGACAGTTCAGGATCTGAGATTAGACCAAAATAAAAACCTAATGAAGAATCTGGAGCAGGGTGAGTATTTTTTTTTTTAAATGGACATAAGCAACAGATTATGTGAGACTGGCTTATTTACATTTACTGCGAACCATTAGGTATATTTACCATAAGAGATATGTATGAACAGTTCCAGAATATTTCTAAAATGGGACCATTGTCCAAGATGATGCAGATGATGCCCGGAATGTCTGAACTTAATTTTGAAGGTTCAGACGAACTTGGTGCCCAAAGAATAAAAAGGTATGTTGAACGCAGACAATGCATTTTGGTTTATCACATCACGCAAAAGGTTTATACAAATAATTAATATTGTACTTTATTTTTGCTGGGCATTAGATTAATGACCATAATGGATAGTATGAGCAATGCGGAACTTGACTCTGACGGCAAGATTTTCATACATCAACCGGTACGAATTGTACGCGTGGCACGCGGGTCAGGCACTACTGTTCGTGAAGTCGAGGAACTTCTCATGCAGCACAAAGGTTTTCAGAATATGGTGAAGAAGTTTGGCGGCAATAAAAACTTATTCAAGGGTGGGTATAATTATAATTTTTTATGGTCAGAATTATGAAACTAACGGATTTGCTTATCGTAGGAATGGGCCCGAATATGGACCCGTCAAAGATGTCACCTCAACAGATTCAGCAGAAAATGGCTGCAATGAATAAGGTACGCCAGATTACATGCAGAATTAATTCGTGATTATTGATCTTGCTTATTCATATTCGTATCTCGATAGATGCTTCCGCGCGGCATGCCTGGAATGAACAATCTCATGAGATCAATGGTAAGTCAGTAATTAACACGAAATTATGGGCAGTAATCATGTTGAGACAAAGAGTCGAAGAATATTGTATATTCGACTGTGCTTTTTATTAGATATGTTTTTATCTAACACTTGACGTATTCGTAGATGGGCGGAGGCCTTCCTGGAATGGGAGCACAAGGAATGCCAGATATGGCCCAGATGCAAAATATGATGAAGCAAATGGGCCTGAACCTGCCGGGTATGGGTGGTGGAAGAAGAGGATGAACGAGGACGATAATAACGTGCTACAAGAAAAAGCATGTGATATTTGCTGGATTAAAATAAATTAAAATATGTCTGTATTTGTTAATACAATTTTTTAAACTCTTGTATAAGTAATGTTCACGCAACAAACTGTTACGGACAGATTTTACCAGAGTCAACGAATTAATTTTTAGCATTTCGAAACTGACATGATTTAATAATAATGCGAATTAATTGATCGATGTCTCTTTAACTTTTATTATAGCAGCTTATTCCATTGCAGACAGAATTTGATATCTAGTCATAAGACATGTTTTAACGCAGAACCTTATTGCTAACTACGAACAAGTATAATACTGTAAGTTCAAGCACATCGTATTTATTGGAGAATAAACTCATAAGCGTAAATTAAAAACCTCACTGAATTATGGTAAATCGGTCAGACATTATCAACTACCTTGCCAAGTCATAGCTGGTTTTCGATTTAGGCAAATACCTAGTAGGTAAGAGCGTGCTACGTGATAAGTGTTACATCATTACGATACATTCAATATATCTTGGCATTGTCCTTGTCAATAAGCTTAGCAATATCGTCCAAAAGATGTCTCTATGTCTGGACCAGCATTACAACCCATCTCCGCAATCGTAGTCCACCCACGCTAGGAGTTCTATTTGTGAAAAACGCATCAAGGAGCGAAGCCCCTGCATATATTCTTCCGTACCGATTTCTTATTAACTTATGTCGAGCACATCACGTAAACCCTTGAATAAATTGTGTAAAACTGTCATCCAAAATTTTGAGTCACTAGAAATTATTGACAATGGGCGAGTTAATATTGTTAATTGACTCCATTCATAATTAATTTTTGTCTTCATACCTGCAGCTGAATCCAAATCGTGGCTGTTTTTCGGTTTAGGTAAGTCTCCTGTAGGTAAGAGTTTACTAGAGTATTTACTCTCCTTCTCGAGACGTGACAATGGTTTTACATCATTATGATAAACGGTATTCCACGCGTTGTCACCATCATGAATCTCTATAATAAGCTCATCAATATCATAATAAAGTCTCCGTGCATTAGGACGCTTATCAGGATCAGCATCACAACACAGCTCGGCAAGTTTCTTGTATTCCTCTGGTGCGGAGTCAGGCATTGACGGTCGTAGTCCACCCATAATATCGCATATCAAATCTCTATCGAATTGCCTATTTCTAAAAGGTGGCTGACCAGTAGCAATCAAATACATAATGGTACCAAAAGAATAGACATCCGATTTTTGAGTAAATTTGCAGGTATGAAAGACTTCCGGTGCAATAAAGGGCAAAACACCTTGAATGGTTGAATTGGACCCGTGTGAATTCACCGATCGCGAAAGACCGAGATCGCATATCAATGACGTAATATAATACGTATTGGCATGTATAACAATGTTTCCACCATGTAGATCACAGTGCACTAATCCCGCCCCATGAATCTCGCGCAGATATTTTGCAATATCTTTCAAATGTTGTAATTTCCTCTTCCACGTCAACTTGTTAATATTTTGAACCAAATAAGACAAAAGACTGCCGTTGTTAGCATATTCCATAACAATCATGTACTCTTGTGTTTCTGGGTCTTGTGTCACTCCATAAAGTTTAAGGAATGAACTTCCGTGTGTGCACTTGGCATGATTTTTGAACTATTAAATATTAATAAGTACAGCGTCAAATTAAATATCACTTTAATCAATACTATCAAGTTATTGCTTACCTCTGAAACAAATAATTCCGAAGTCTGATCAAAATTCTTCTTATTATACCGTTTTAACACAACAGTTTGTTTCATATTCCGTACTTCTGAATACTTTTTATACTTTGCAGTATAAACTGTTCCATAACCACCAACTCCGATCTCTTTGAGTTTATAAAAGTCGCTATACTGAAAGCGCTTTATATTATCGTTATTTTGTATGAACTTGTCCAGCATTGTATACACGTCGTAATAGAAAACTAAATAATATTCCCGAGTAGATGGCTCCTGAGTGATTCCAATTATCCAAATATTAT